ATCATAGAAAAAGCTCTTTACACATTGTACTACTTACTTATTGTACTACTAGTAGTTAAAGCAATGTTGTGATAAAGCTACATAAAATTTGTGAACATATTGATCAGTTGAGCGGACATTCCTGCTTGTTCACGTCACCGTAGATGTCCAATGTGGAGACGTCAAGCTGCTTCTTTCTTCTCATCTTGTCCTTCTTACCACCTCCCAGACTCATGATATGCATGCAGCCGACGTATGGCTCTGAAAAATGAGACCTCAAAATACTGTAAGGTGAAAAAGATCGTAAAAAAGGTATTACCTCGAGTTTCCAGGCCTTTGTTGGTAACAGACTCCGGCACACCACCAAGGTAGATCGGATCTTTGGTGACAGTTTCATGCTTCTTGCTCTTCTTCATGATGTTCAAGTTGCTTTTACCATCCACAGTGAGTGTCATTAGGTTCTTCTTTTTCATGATCTGCAAGGAAGTAATGTTATGGAGTGTGATTTCGCGAGCGTCTGTTTTGAGGTTGCAGGCTTCCGGGTTTTAGTTCTTCATGGGCTTCCCTTCCTGCTGGAATACTAAGCATATGGTTGATATCGTCTCATTCCGTTGGGGCCTTCTCTAGAGGCCTGGAAGTCTTTCCGCGATGCGTTTTTTACCAGTAATGGTCGATTCAGGTAGAAAACGACCAACAGTAGAGAGCTCCGCGGGTTACTCCACCCCAACTGATACCGCCCGCCGGAATGCAACAATACCAGCGGTGTTTACCCCTTATGCCTAGCCGAGTTCTTGTACATACTGCACCTAGCGGCTTCCATGCGTTATGGCCACGCCCTGGGCAGGCTAGTGCCTTACAAAGGGCCTCTAATTTGTAATGTTAACGCCAACTTACCTTGATCGAATGCCAATGACCATCGCAGATAGTATTTGTTAGTGGGCGGAGTATAAACCAGCGATTCAGCTCCCGAACCGCTATCGACAGTGAACTGAAAGAGTAGCTCAGTTGGGTGGGAACAGACCTTTGATGAAAATTCATGAAATTACCTTCACAGCTCCGTCGAGGATTTGTACAGTCAGGTATTCGACAACACCAACGGAGAACAGCACACCATTCTTTGTACGTGGACGCACCTCCAACTCGGCAGAGAATGACTGGCCGACCTGCAAACGTGAAAGAATGAAGGAATGATGGCTTAGAAACGCTAAGAAGGAGAAACTTTC